ATATTAAAAGAAATACAAACAAAAAAGATGTAATAAAATTGGATATACGGACGTTCACTTTCCGCTATGTAAGTTTTATTAGACATTAAATATAATTGCTTTCACGTCATAAATTGCGGCGGTCCCTAAAGGCTACTTTACACGAAGCATATATTTTTCCATGCAATAATCACTGCACTAAAATACTGCTGATTAAAAGGCACACATTGCATTTCACACGTTTTGATTACTAATTAATTATTAATAACTACTTAATTTATATTACGATCTTATAAACATATATTTATCATTATAAACATTGATTAAGTATTTTGAACAACTATTCAAATAATAATATTGCATTTGTTAAATCAATTTCAATTCAACACTACCTCGCATAGTCCGGGTAATTACCAATATCCCGGATTGTTTGAAACCAGACTAATCGAGGAACTAAATAACGCAAAGGGAACAAAACAATGATTTATGAAGAAATAATATTTTGTCCTCAAATAAAAATTAGTTCGTTTTGAAATGTTCTACAATGAATCCGGACTAATCAAAGCCAGTTTTGAGTTGGTAAATGTTATGTTAATCATCAATTCAAATACTGTCCTCATCATAAGTTGCTTAACTAATATAACCTGTCAAAAATTAAATATTCGATGGAAAGCTTGTTAAGTAATTTGTCAAGTAGTTGTTGAAAATAACTGACAAATTTTATTTAACAAATATTGAAACATCCACCAACATTTATTGAAGATGTATAAAAGTTACATTTCAATTTAAATTATTTCTTCATAAAAGACAATATTTGAATATAACACAAATATTTCCAATTTAAACTTGGAAAAATGAGACTCTTTCCAATATAGTTTTCTAAAATACATTATTTTGTACAGTGTTTCTTGATCATTTTGCTACGCGATCCAACGTATTTATATGTAATTATTTTTAACGTTTTGAAGCTAGGTGACAGCTGTCAAACCAAAAATATATAATATTGAAATAAATATATAACTAAAATATTTATTATATGCTGAGAATATACGTTTTATGTATATATAAATTGGTATTACTCTGAAAATGTTAATTACAGGCATCCCCCGACTTATGAACTCCCAGACTTACGAACAAAATTATAAAAGCTCTAAGTTGTTACAAGGAGATATACAGTGATAAAAAATTAACTTTCTAAACAAAAACTGATAATTTCTTTAATAAAATATAATAGTTTTGATGTACTACCTGTTTTGTTGCATTTATTTCTATTGTCGTTTTTTTATTAAATAATTGTGATTTCTTCATTAAAAAAGTTTTGTAAGTAAGTATTTTGTTTATTTTAATCTATTTTTTCAAATGTATGCAATCAGTAATACGAAATTTAAAATATATAAAAATAAAAACTATGGAAAAGTGTGGTAAGATAAGTATATTTTGAAATTTTTAAAATTCCTTCTTACAAACAAATTCAACTTACGAACAACCCTTTGGAACTGAACTAGTTCGTAAGTCGAACTTTAAATACTGATTGTGTATTTGATGATATATTTCTAGTAATAACTTGAAATTTTGTTGTAGTTAATTTTGTAGTTTTCTTTCTTGTTAATTGTAAAATTTAGTATTTTTCATATAGATTAATTGCAAACTAAAAACATTTGTTATTTTTAATTTTTTAATTATATATTCATTTTTATTTATATTTTTTTGTATTATTATAATGTTATTTTTTTTAATAATTCAGTTTGTAAATCAATTTTAAAACTAATCTCTAAAGATTTTTTTATTGTTCCTTTCTATAATAAAAAAATAATGAACAATTAAAATAATTAGAAAGGAATTAAACAGAATCAATTAGTGAATGTAAATTAAAACCGGATTATTATAAAATTAATCAGAATCATTGATTATCCATGTAATCACTATTCAATTAAATCATCTAAATATCATGAAATTAATTCGCATTCACATTATTTTCTATATATATTTCTTTTTTTTTCACTCGCTGTTCCTATCATTAAATTTGCGAAACGAATAAATTACGATCGCCATTCATTATTCATGCCACGCTTCCAATTAATTTTCTCCAGTTCCACCTTGAGGTATTGCAGTCTGAAGTAATCTTCTCCCCATCATGATGCATTTAAAATTCAGAAAACGAAATTAACGACGAATTCATTTGTACTTTGTAAAACCAATCTGAAAACTCAATTAACTAATTGTGTTTTATCAATGAAATGATTTGATTCATTATATTTAGTAGTTATATAAATCATACTAGGTATACAAGTTATAAGATTAAGTAGAAAGATATGTGTAAAGATTGTAGTGAAACGAAGTATATGTATATTGGGTTGCATATATTACCGTAACTATGATAAACTCACTAAGTGCGAATTCACACATTAAAAAACAAACTGAATTTTAATTCATAAAATAAAAATAAATTATAAAAAACTTCCCTTTATACTGTTGAACTATTTAAAAAAATATGAATTATATGAAATGAAAAAAAAAAATTATATGTCATAGCTCATTTTAACTTTTAACTGATTTAGAAAAACTGTATAAAATCTATGAGATAACAATTAATGTTGGCAATGTACTCTTCAATAGAGTAGGTAATAATACTCAGAATAAAATTAAAAAAGAATGTAAATATACTTGATTTCAGTTTCAGTATATCAAATAAAATATACTTCTGCCATAAAATACATTGCTTATAGTACCTGAAAAAGTGAAGTGATTTAATTTATATTTTACAAAACTTTATCTTTGTGTTCTTGACAACTTCTAATGATGTAATTAGAAATTACATAATATAAATTAGGCCAACATTTTACACCATTTTCCTTAAAGTAATTTCTTAATGAATACTTTGAACAATACTAAGAATTTGTCTATAATATAATAATTCATGTAAAATACCTGAAATGATAGGGTATATTACTAAATTGTTATATTTTTTTTTATAAAACACGTATACAAATAAATTTTGGTTACTATTATCTCTAATACCCAATGGATTTTTAATGGATTTCCAGTAACTTTGTGAAATTAATCAAGAATCATTGTAGTGAATTTTCAGATATTTGTAAAACAAATTATTTTATTTCTACTAAAATGAATTAATCAAGAACCATTCGATCTATATTAGCTGGACTAGGAGAAATGTAGAGAATATTGTTGGTTTGCTAGAAAAAGTTAACTAATAATAATGAACTATTAGGAACAAAGGATATTGAGATTAAAATAATTTATCTCCACATCCATGTGATATTTGATCAGAAACCAATTGTTGAATCACATCGTAACACTACTCTCAATAAGTTCGTAGGATAGAATATAGATTTTTTTTATTATGTCATAATATATTTAATTTACAATCTTATTCCTGTGAACATTAATTAAATCTAATTTCGGTAGACATTTATATTTTTGGTGAACTTCCCAATCGAAGTTTTTACCATTATATTCTTCTGTAATTTGTTGGTTGGCTGCCGTCTTCCAGATAACATATAGATAGATGATGACTATTGACAAATCCATATAATTTTTAGGAAGTACCAAGTACCTGTCAAAATTCCATGGCAATCTGACGTTTAGTTCACAAGTTACAGGATTTTGCCCTATTTGGTCAGGTAATTGTGACAATTATATTTAGATCAGTGAAAATGTCAAATATCAATTGGTTTTATTGTAGCGAATCAAAACATTAAATGAATTTACATCAACACGTGTTGCTTAAATTTCGAAAGCGCAAAAATGATTTTTTTTTTTCAATTTAAAGCAGATTAAAACAGTTACTTTTATTTTATTTCACTACTTTTTGTAAAATAGCATAAAATTAATAGGCCATTGAATATTTGGGAGAATGATCAGGTTCATCGCCTAAGATTAAAGCCAAAAGAAAGTCTTTGAAGATGAGTAAATAATTGAAATGGATGTATTTCATACAATTCATTGGAGATGGATAAGAAGTGAGAACAGAGGAGGATGTAATAAAAACGCAGCTGAAGGAATGAAGAATCTCTTGATATTCTTATTAAGAAATTAGAAGGTAAGTTCATACTTATTATAATACGATATTATATAATTTATAATTATAAATATAAAGTTCTTTGAGCAACAATTTAGTTTGCATAGTCCAGGTAATCACCAGGACTAATCGAGGAACTAAAAGCTTATAAAAAGTGGCGTACAATGATTTATGTATAAATAATATTTTGTCCTATTTTTTAAAATTTTCCATGTGTACTGATTGAAGCCGCCTTTGAGACGGTAAATGTTATGTTAAGCATCAATTCAAGTACTATCCTCATCATAAGTTCTTTAACTATCAAAAATAAAATATTCGATGGAAAGCTATGACTATGCAATACTTGTTAAGTAATTTGTCAAGTAGTTATTGGAAATAACGATGTAAGTAATTAAAATAACAAACAAATGTTATGTAGCAAATATTGATGCTTCCGCCAACATTTATTGAAATTGTATACAAGTTACTTGTCAAGTAGCGACTATTTTGTTTTATTTTATTATACAATTATTTGTTCATAAAAGACTTAGGTCATTTTTTTTTAAATTAATGTTTCAAAATAGAATTTGTATATTATACAAATATTTCCATAAAATTTTTACTATTATAATTATTTTTAATATTATAATATTATGGTTTAGTTTTCTTAAATTATATTATTTAGTACAGTGTTTCTTGATTTTTTTTTGCAGCGTATTGCGAGATGAAGGAATTCTTGATATTCTTGAGCATCAAATCTTGCTAAGCAATTAAAAGGTAAGTATGAGTTTTGTCACTAGTTGTTAATAGGAAGAATTAGAAGTTGAAGAGTTTCGATGGTACTAATGCAAAAGTTTGTTATACACTGATGATAAAATCTATTAAAACAACAAAAATGTAATATTATTTCAATTTGTTGAAAACATTTCGTTATAACCGAAAATTGATTACGACGATCTTCTATGATTTGTTTTTTTGTATTTAAATTGTGTTATATACTTACTGACGGATTCGATGACTTCGGCCAACAGAACGCCGTCACTGCAGTCCGTGGCCAAAGAGCTGACCCTCTTCTTGCTCCTCGCCTTCTCCAGATAGTGATTGGCCCAATCGGTGTAAATCTGCAAATAGAACAGGAATAAATTGAGAGCAGGAATCAGATGCAATGAATTAAACGGAACAGCAAATGTAAAATATGAAATGGTACGCAAATAAGTTTCTTGGAGCGGAGCCAAGAAACGCAACATTACGACAATTAAAGCATCCAAGTGGTGTAATTATCTCGGAACTATAGGGGAGAGACCGAGTGTAACAAAATAAGAGAAACAGAACGGATAGAGTAAGTAAATGTAAAATGTTATTAGTCCTAAACTAATTACGCTTGTTGCAATTGTGCCGAATCCCCGGCTCCATTGTGCGGACTAGGATTAATGATCTCCAATGGAGAGAATGCACACCCTTCTTTTTCTTGTACTTTGTCTTCCTTATTTCCCATTAAGCGCAATATTGAATTACGTCGAACGTGGAAAGGGTGAGAGAATGGAGGAAAGGGTGGAGGAGAGATGTGCGAGTATCGGCATTTTTGCGCGATGTCGATGGTTGAGTCCAAGTCCACCTTATATGGTGGATGAGAGGAGGACGTGAGAATGGTGGACAAAAACGGGAAATTCCCAGCGCATAAATCCGCTCTTCGTGACTTACAATCCGAAAGCGGTTAATTGGTCGTCGAATTTTTCTGGCCACCGAAATCTTGATCGCCGCTTTTGGGCAAATATTAACTTCTGCATCGATCACACCGAACAATGCAATTTATCAGAGTTGTCCTTATAAGATTGCAAGATATTTTAGATCCACATACAAATTGCAGCATCATTATGTAAGTTTATTACTTTCAATAAAATTTGTTTTAAATAGTAATATTTCATTCATATTTATTCTTTACATACTTATGTAACTAAATATTAATAAAAATATTAGAAGTAAATAATTTAATAAATATATTTCACTTTTAAAAATCTATTATATTAATTCATTAATCTTTTTTAAAAAAATGTAAGTAGAAAGACTTAGATGTTTTTGGACAATAGACTATTAGTGCAAATAAAAATGTGTGAATGTTAAAAAAATATTATTATTATTTTCAAATTTTTGTCCAAATTTCAATTGACAATTTTTATTGGATCCATTTTCGGTTAATGTAAATTTTTATGTAGTTATGAAAAAATATGCTTTTTTTCTTTACTTTTTTTTTACAATACACGATTTACATAATCTAATGAACGTTAGTTGATTTACAAGTGGTAATAAATAATTATTTCTGAAAAGTTCTGAAAAAAAATTATAAAATAATGATGTTATATATTTTTGGATTTTTGGTTAATAGTGAACTTAGGACATAAATATTCATTATTTTTTCAGCAATGCCGAAACAGTCCTAGGCATGACATTAAAGTCTTCAAAAATATACAAACTTGAATTCGTAATACAACATTTCTAATCATTTTTGAAGTTCTACAGATTTTCTACGAGATTTATATGAAATGTTATTAATATAAAACTGTTGACCCGTTCGGTGCTTATTGACCCCCAAAATTTTATTGTTGGTGAGATTTGAATCTGTCACTTTTCGTATAAGTTTTTATGATACAGGCGATAGTCACGATTTTAAAGATATTGTATATAATCCTATATAATTATATGTTTGTCAAATAAAAAAGTGTTACGCAAAGTCACATATAGTAAATGGGCTTTTTTAACACGTCAAAAACGGCACAAATCGGTTTGCTTTAAACGCCAATACATTTCTTATACATATTTTAATAATTCTTGAAGCAATTAGAATAATACGTGATATTGTAACATAAATTATGCATACTTTACAAAATAAATTATACTGAGTCAAAATCAGTGGCGTTCATAGCGAAAAGACTACTTTCTTTGCTGCATATCTATTTATTTATTTTAGTACCTTTCTGAAAAGTCATTATTCAATACTTGGAGAACACAACAGCATAAAGAAATGTTTCATTTCATTGAATTCTTCTATACTTTCTGATTATTTTGTTTAATCACTTTCCGATAAATTTTCGTTAAAATTTTTACTATTTTCTTTACAGATTTCAAACTTTTCTAGTTATTATTTTTCTCGCGTAATTAATTGAAAATTCAAAAATATAGTTTAAAATTCTGGGATACGTCAATGTCAATGTAAATTAGCAGAAAAAATAATAATTACGGTAAATGGTTCTACTGTGCATCGAATAGTAAGTATAAATAGGCTTGATTTATTTTATGAGTATTGTCGTCATAAATCGTATTTTCGCACATTAGTTTTAAGTAGTCGATTAGTTGTAAAAGTTGCGGAGATATATCTATGTAAGTAGTTGTTAGAAATATATGTGCTAGGGGAAGCAAACGGTGGTGGTAAATTACCTGTGACTGAAAAGCACAAGTGCATACAATAGTTCAGGTAGTAAGGAAATGGTAGAAGTAGTAAAGCTCGTAAATGTATGATAAATGAAATATAAATTTTACTGACATATTTTTACAAAATATAACCAGGAAATACATTTTCTTTTAATTTTTACATATATTTTCCAATTAAATATGTAATAAATATGTAAAATTCATTGAATATAATTAATTAATTGTTTTATATACATCATAAAGTTAATGTTTGGATTTGATCACTGTTTAAGTGGCTTTAGGATATTTAATGTGTCAACTAAAACAATTTAACGGCCACTCTTGTAACCTAAACTCTATATGAATATTTTCAGTTAGTTTTATGCCTGTACAAAAGGCTAAATGTGAAAAAAAACTATACATGTCACGTTTGATGAGCGCGAGGGATATGAAAAGATGCATGTACTTGGTCTCCAGAGAGGAAACGATAAAAATAAACAGAACAGGTCCAGCTGTTCAATTTTAATCAGCATTTATAAAGGCACGTCTATCTCTCTCTCTCTCTATTTCCCTCTTCACCAGGGCTAAATTTAACCGTGGGGGACTCCCGATTTATCTGCAGTTGGCTGTCATCGTGTGCCTTCGCGATGCACGTGAAACGAATAGCCTTCAATTTATAAATTGATGCATAACAGAGGAAACGACAAAATGGTCATTAATTAGCAGCAACAGCAAAAAAAAAGAAAAGAACAGAACAGAAAAAGGACTGCAGAGGCTTATCCACCTTTGCATCGACGCTCTGCGTGAGAGGGGAAATGTCTCGGTGGAAACCTATAAAAAGCTCCAATCGAAATAATGGAATATAAAGGCTTTTCTTGCAAACACAACGGAAACGGCAATAAGTTTTCTACCATATAAAGTACCGGTTTTTTTTGGTGACATAATTACTTTTCGTAATAAATGTGCCTATTGCATGAAAGCATTAATCAAATTAATCTTAATTAATCGTGTTTTTATGAAACTTATTATGTTTGTTCAGCTTTATGTTTCTTTTAAATTATCTTTATATTTGATTAAAGTAAATTAGTTTTTAATAATTACTGAAAATAAAACAATAATTAAACTAATTACTTGAGAAATTTAACTTTTAAGATATAAAAAGTTCATATTCACAAAATATTATAAAAATTACTGTAAATATTATCATTAATAATATTAAATTAAAGCTTTTCCTAGTACAAGTGTGCTTTGTGGAAGTGAAATAGACAATAATAATTCCAAATTTCAATCATTAAGAAAATTGTCTTCATCAAGTATTAGGATGTGAAAATGATTCAATAAGTAACAATATTATTGTCTATTTCAAGGAAAAGTATTTAACCTAAGGAACATCGCACCATATAATGCAAAGGTCAGCGAACCGAGGTAAATTACCCCAGGTGGGGTAAAAATTCCTGGGATAATTAAAATATTATAAACTTGAATGAATTGATGACAAAGTGCAGTTCCACTTCATCTTATTAAACAATACTTTTTAAATTTTTAATTGTACTATTTGCAAAAATAGATTCAATAAAACATTGGAATTTAATTAATTTATGATTTTCATGTTTTCAAATCGAAAGGTATTAGGTAAAAAAGTTCCCCGGCCCATGTTCTATGGAAAGCATTGCACCAAAGAACAAATGGAATCACTTATACAAAACATAACAACAAAAATAATTATTACATTGTTTTCTATGATTTTTTTTTCCAGGATTTAAGATTTTTTTTATAAATTTTCCCATAAATGCAACAAAATTTTCATTTTCTATTTCAATATTAATATTTGAAAATATTCAATACATGTATCTAGAAAAATTGATCAATGTAATTCGAGAAATAACAAATTGTGATCAATAATACTTAAAATGCAAATTTTACTTTCATCATGAAATATATCAAAATATCAACTCGATGTAGAAGTACTAACAGCTTTTACAATAAAATTTCATTATTATTCATTTATTAGTTTTGGTTTTGAAAAAAAGCAGCATAAACATTTTTATAAACAATTTTATTTCTTCAAAATATTACAAGTCAAGCTAAATGCTGCAAATGTAGTAAAACTAGTCCGGGAAATCTCATTCCTTGAGGAAATAAATAAAATAAAAATAAACCGCATAAAAAGTGGAAAATACTTATATTTATGTTTACAAAAATAATGTATAGAATGTATGTTTATTTTGTTCAATTAAAATTTAGTTTGTATTGAAAGTTTCAAACCGTACTATAGTGATTCAATATTTATCAAGGCCTCACATGCTGAAATTACAATGTAAATATATTTCCAAGTAGTAAAATTCATTCACAATTAATCGAGAATTAATTACTCCATGTTCAAACAGAGCTAATTATAAAAACATAAATAAAATAACAATGTTCTTTTAATTACACATAATTTCAAATGCGTAAAAACGATGTACGTTGCACAAAGCAAAAATGCGTTTTTTTTTTATTACATTCAGTTGTTTAGTAATTCGAAACACTATTCATTCATTTTAAATAGCCCTCATCAATATTGTATGAAACAAATTAAACGTAATAGACTGACATTATCGATTATGGTAGATGAATGAACCTATTAATTATATAACTATAATAGCGTGCATTGGAATGATTGAATGGACACAATCGAAAAAAAAAACAACGACACACAATGAATTTGGCGACAAAACACTTCCGATTTCGGGCATAATAGAATTGTTGAATTGTACAGCCGCATGTCAGAACAATGTGATTGATAGGCATTGCGATAGTGTAGGTACAGCAACACGTAATGTACAAAGCGTATATCGAGCTT